TCCGTGAGTTCAAGGCCAGCCTGGTCTACATAGTGAGTTCCAGGCCAGCTGGGGCTACAGGGAGACCCTGTCTCAAAAAGACCAAAAAATTAATTAAAAATTTAAAATTAAAAATAAATAAATAAAAATACACTGCTAATACACTTTTTCATTTAGATGATCTGATCTTGAATACGGATCTCTGTGATTGAGTTCAGCCTCAGAGGATATAACTCTGGGCCTCCCTCAGCCATAACACAGGGGCAGCGGGGGGCTTGGTGCCATCTGCACTGTAATAAGGACACAAAAATGAACTGTAAAAGTAATGTTCAAACCAATGATATGGGTGCAGACGGCCGTCTTCACAGACCTCCCTCTGGGCCCGTATGTAGACACAGACCACACCTCCTTCTCCCAACAGGGTCTGCAAATTCAAGACTCCTAAAGTACCCCACATGATGCCAGTAGCCTACAGGTCAGAAAAAAAAACAAAACAAAACAAAACAAGGAACCTGATGTTTTCTGGAGTCTGACCTTGTAGGGGCAGAACTAAGGCCAGAATCCCTTTTCTATTACCTCAAAATGTGCAAACGATCTCTGTCTGCGCTTTGGGATCTTTTGGAAAGACCATCGGGAGGACATCGGCATCAGTACTTTAATGCTACGAGATGTGCCACCTCTGAGACCAAGTGTGTTCCCTGCTTTTGGTCTCTCAGATGAAAAATGCAAAAGTGAGCACTGACCATGGGGTGCACCCTCTGCCTCCCTGGGGGTGGATAGAGCTGGGGCGGCCAGTTTCCTTTACCTCACTCGCTAGCCTCTCATATTCTTCCATCAGCCTCTCATTCTCTTGATTCACAGCAAGAACCTTACATATTCTGTTAGCTGCTGTCTCGGCCTGCAAAACACAATAGGTAAACAGGATGGCGGGTCGGACGAGGGATGCGTGCACACACAGAAAGCCAGACATGATGGCCGGTCGGACGGGGGAATGCGTGCGCACACACACAAACCCAGACATGGTGGGGCGAGGGGGTCGAGGGAGATGGCTGTCAGAAGTGGAGCAGTCTGGGGTGGGGTTGGGTGAGAGAGAGGGGATGAATTGTTTCACACCTTTTTGTTTTTAGCTTTCACACAGACTTACACGGCAGTTGAATATACTGTAGGGAACAACAGGGAAATATCATTAGTCTAAAACACAAGCTTTGTAAAACATTGAGCAAGTTAGTAACAGAAATATGTGGGTCAAGGAAAAAGATCTCAGGTCCCTGGATGCCTGTCCATCTGAACACTGACCCTATGACCATGGTGTAGAATGACATCAGCCTTTAGAAATCAAAGCTCAAGTGACTGGGTCTTGAATATATTCATGTCATTGCCCTTGACTCCACGGGAAGACTTCACCTCTTTTGAGCATGTAGCACTCTCTAGATGAGCTCCTCCCCTGGAGCTGAGCTGACCTTAAGATGTTTGATCTCCAAGAGCAATCACTGAGACAATAAAGTATCCTCTGACACCATGTGTGAAGAGGACCTGAGGTCACATGTCTCCTATCATGAGCCTATGCTGGATGGAGAAGAGGAACATGCATAATCAGACTTCTAGGGCCACAGCAGGGGTGTCCAATCCATGGCCCATAAGCCTCATGCAGCCCAGGGTAGCTATGAATATGGCCAAACACAACAGTGTAAACTTACTAAAGCATTTTGAGATTGACTTTCCTTCCACTCTGTGGGTCCCAGGGATCAAACTCAGGTCTGTCAGGTTGGGTTACAAGCACCTTTACCTGCTGAGTCAACGCATCAGGCCCAGTTTTTTAACTTTGTAGGTGAAATGTCATGAGAAATAAATATACGTGTGCTCTCGCAACCTGCGGGCTGCCGTAGGCTAGAGATCCCATGTAGCCCAAGACAATCTGTCTGTGTACAATGTGGTTCACAGAAGCCAAAAGGTTGGACACTCTTGCCCCAAAGCCTGGCCTCTAAAGCCCTAAGTCACCTGATCATATGATTCAAGTGACCATCATTCCCTAGTGGCGGCCTTTACAAATAAGGCAAAAAAAGACACCCTTTGTCCACTCAGTCTATCAATATTCCCCATGGAAAGGGGTAAGTGACAGGGACAGGTAGGGCTGCAGAGAGTGGAGGATATTCTCCTGCAATGTCCCTCAGTATCTTGGGAAATGTGAGCAATCCTGGGATTGTAACACTTTTATCCCTTTGACTAAAAATACAGTCTTGAAAGATGCTTGAGCAAGGTCAGTGCCAGGCGAACTAGAGCCACAGATATGGGAGAGGTATTTGTCTCCTTTGCCATTCAATGCATGCTGCACACTCCCCAGGGCACTCTGCCCCCTAATGTACAAATGTTTCTAATGATTTGTTAATGAAATAGAGGAACTATTTTAGAAGAGAAAAACTTAGAGAAAAGCACTGCAGTTACTGTTAAAGCTGTTAAAAAAATTGACTTGTGGTTTGCTGTGTTAGGTCATCATGAAACACAGATTCCCAGGTAAGATGTGAAGCACACAGAAACACACACACCCAGGAACACATGCGCACACAGAGCAGCGTGGCCAGCTGCGTGCACAAGGGTGGAGTACCTGCTCCGCTCCCGCGAAAGCATGGTAGAAGCAGGAGACGTAAGTCATGATGGCTCTTTCATCGGGTTTGGGAGTGTTGACAATGTCTGGGGGGGAGAAAATAACACGGGACACAGACACACACAGGCGAAGAGGAGAAACCACGGTGAACGGAGGGAGGATCAAGTCAGTTTACACCGACTTCGCTGTGTGTTTAATGGGCCCATGACCCTGAACCTCAGCACGGCTAGACAGCACCGACAAGATCCCAGAATAGGAACTTTTTATTACATTTCAATCCATTATGGTGTGTGCGCATGTGTTTGCGTGCGTGCTATGCCATGTGTGTGGAGGTTAGAGGACAACTCTTGGGAGTCAGTTCTTTCCTTCCATCTTGTAGGTCCCAGGGAATAAAATTTAGGCCT